TACCCAACAATGTAAACACATGGGAAAATAATAGAATGCAGAAACGACTCCACTATCATGCCATACTTTAGTAGCAGTAGTAAGTGATACTAGTAAGTGACACTTAAAAGGCTAAGTGCCTGTATCAGTAGAGGGATAAAAAGCTACTTATGAACCAAAACTAAAGGACACAGGAAAACGTTAAGAGGCAGGTAAGTATTTTTAAAAAGCATGCTGAGGGCCCAGGAAGTGACTCAAGTAGCAGAACAGCTGCCTCACAAGTGTGAAGCCCTGAGTTCAAACCCCCGACGTCCAATCAATAAATGTTTACAGTAAAAAGCACCTTGACAACTAGCATTCCTAAACTAATATAAATACAGAAAATCACCCTCAAGAAATGCTGGAAGGGCTGGGAAGGTGGCTCAGTTGTAGAGTGCTTGCCTCACATTCATGAGGACCTGGGTTTGATTCCTCAGCACCACATAGGCAGAAAAAGCCAGACGTGGTAGAACACAAATCTTGAGCTGAGGGACAGCGCCCAGGCCCAGAGTTCAAGCCCCACGACCAACCAAAAAAAAAAAAAAAATGCTGCAAGAGGAAAAATTAAACTCATCTTTCTTTGGAATCAAATTCTCAATATCTACTTATATCCAGTTACCAGAAGACAAGAAAGATAATTAACTCATTGTTTCAGCAATAACAATGATGAGCTCAGAGTAAGTTGTTCTAGGAAGATTAGAAAGCTGACAGTCAGCTTCTTTTTGCTTTCAAGTTCCAAGAAGCAAACTGAACAGAGATTTACTGGTAAGATAGGCAAAGGCCACAGAAAGAAAAGCAAAACCAGAGATACTTTTGTGTTGTGGCATATTCACAGTGGTATGTTTTCTTGAAGGCAGATACTGCACTTTCCAAGTTCAGCAAATACAAGATTCAAGTCATGTATTATCTGTTAAATTACTGAGGAAACTGACACTTAGGAAAGCAAGTTTCTCCCAGTAAGGATGGTTAGACTAGAACAGTAGCTTCTATACTTTTTTTTGGGGTCCGGTCATGGGGCCTATACTCTGGGCCTGGGCGCTGTCCCTCAGCTCTTCAGCTCAAGGCTAGCACTCTACCACTTGAGCCACAGCACCACTTCCAGCTTTTTTCTTTTTGCTTATGTGGTGCTGAGGAATGGAACCCAGGGCCTCAGGCATGCAAGGCAAGCGCTCTACCAATGAGCCACCTTCCCAGCCCTCTATGCTTCTTAAGTAGTTGAATACCTAGGAATGTAAACAAATACACACCAATTAAATAACTAATGGGAAGATGCAAGCTATGAGTAAGAGAATTAACATAAAATGGATTATTCATGGCTGATACTTTAGGACCTGTGACAAGAAGGGCTGCTGACACAGTATGCCAGCTCCATAAGAAGAGAAAGAAGGGCTGGTCAGGCTAGCACAGTAAGGGACAGTCCGGACCCACCACCCTGTCACCTTTACTGCAATTCCCAACTTCACTTCAATCTCCAAGACTGGAGGAACTTCCAGTTGGTACCATGGTGAGATTACAGATTACAAGTGTATCTCATTTTACTCCAGCTTCAAAAATCAGATGACTGACACTAGTCAAGCTGCTGCCAGCCGGTGGAAGTGGTGCCATTTATCCTTTCTGGCCTAGCTATGTGTGAAAGGAAGCTACCACCCCAAACTCTGGCTGGCCTGGGCTTTTACTGTTTCCTCTAAGTTCCATAACTGATTAGAAAACAGATCCATTTAAAACTACCAAGGTGCCAGGTGCTGGTAGCTCTTGCTTGTAATCCTAGCTACTCAGGAGGCTGAGGTCTGAGAATTGTGGTTCAAAGCCAGTCCAGGCAGAAAGTCAGTGAGACTCTTCTCTCCAATTAACCACCAGAAAACCGGAAGTGGTGTTGTGGTTCAAAGTAGTAGAGTGCTAGCCTTAAACTCAGGGACAACATGTAGGCCCCAAGTTCAAGGGCCACAATTGACCAAAAACAAACAAAAAAAAACTACCAAGGAATTCAACTGTGGAAAAGATCCTTTTTGTTTGTTCCTTCCTTCCTTCCTCCCTCCCTTCCTCCCTTCCTCACTTTAAGATGCCCAAAGCCAATGTGTGGAATGCATCATTATACTTAAGAACTGCTGCCATACTGAATCCAAGGGTCCTCCAGCCAGGGAACACATTTTGAAAGAGTATATATATTTCTTTGAAGTCTCACTGGACAGGAGTACACACTGCAAATCCTCATTTTCCTGAGTCACTGGTTGAACTTATTTTTGGCTTACAGCATTTAAATATAACATTTATTGATTAGCATTTTCGGTTTATTTTTTGCAGTCCTGGGGGCTGACCCTGACCCTTTCACGTGTGAGCGGGCTCTCTACCACCGAGCTGCATCCCCAGCCTCATGGCCCTTATCTCTGAAGGACACTGACTTTCCAATTCTTTTCCTGTTTTAAAATATAAGTTAAAATTATTTTTCCTTGATGGAAACTCACTTCTTTAAACACCCTCTGAACCTCAAACAGGTCTTATGCTATTGCAATCTTCTCATTTTATAGATAAGGAATCCCAATTTGGAGATCTACGTCGTTCTGCTTCAAACCAAACATACTACCAGTTAAAAGGTCAGTGTCTGAATGTGAACCTGTCTTCTTCCAAGTCCCTAACCAGTGGTCATTCCATGCTATCACTCTATGGACCCACTTAGAACCAGCCATTCTAGGGATCTGTCACTTTCCTTATGGAACCATAAGGTGTCCAGTCTCCATGGACACAGTGCCACAGTCCAGGGTTCTGCAAGACACTTACATCTAGGTGAGGTATTCCTTTTTTGCCAATGAAAAGTGCAAACCAAAGTCAGTCCAACATTGCCATCAAAGTCAGTCCAACATTGCCATGTCCTGATCTTAATGTCAGACAAGCAAGAAAGCTTTGACAAGTTCTTGGTAGCCATATTCTACGTGTTTCAATAACCTGCTGGAGCCTATAATGGACAGTAATGATAGTCAACAGAAATAAGTTATTTTCACCACAGCTCTTCCATTAGATGAGGTGGTAACTACTTGCATGGCAAATCTATTGTGAAGAGGAGCATCGGGGTGATACTGACAAACAGGAAAGGAGCAGCCTTGACAGAAGTATTTCCTCAATGTCTTCTAAAGAATGTGCAGCCTTCTTACCTCTTTAAGTACCACAAATGCAGTCCTTTAAAACTAGGTATTTCTCCTGTTATCCTCTGATTCAGAGATAAAGAGTTAGCTTTGTAGAGACCTCATCTGACTTTTAAAACTAAGCTATTGGTATCCTGCTCTTTATGCAACATTAAATAACCAAGGAACTGGATCTGGAAGAGAGCCATTATTTTATCTTTGACCAACAAAAACAAAGGGTGGATAAATACTACCACAGCTCCAAATAAGTATATAAAGGCTTAATGGTCAAATGAGTAAATTATAAAGAAACGTTATGAAAGCAAATAAATCACCTTTCAAGCTTGGAGCTTCTTTCTTAAATGAGGTGATTTTCCTTTAAGTGCAGACACTGCTAAGAGTTTAGAAGTACACCGATAAAGTAAATTGTGTTAAAGTTGTTAAAGATAATCTAAGTCCTTGGCCCTAAAACACTGGGTACCAGTGTTTTCATTTTTCACCAGAGAAAACTGGGGTATTGGAAAGTTAAGTAACTTGCCCATAGTCACTAAGCTTGAACCCAGCTTTGTGGGTTCTGAAGCCCACACTCCTTGGGCACTTACTCTAGTGCTTTCTTGGTAGCCAACAAACCCTTAACAGTTCAGTCAAACTCTAGGTCCATCTGATATATTATCCAAACCACTTGGAATTATTTGTTAGCTTTAGTCAAGAAAAGTTTGTTATCCACACTTCCTGATTCTAGGTTGGGGTGGTGGCGGCACAGATGAATTGTTTTTTCTTACAATTATTGCACAACCACTAAAACCCAAAAGGAAAAGGACTGATTAAATTCTTCAACTTTTATTTCCTGCTGGCCTAGAAGTTCTTACTGTTAAACAGCAGATATACCCAGCTTAAATACCAAGCTTTTCCCAGTGTACTAAGATCCTAAAGTAATTTCAATTTTGAAGGAGATTAGTACGTATTGGTTATTTTATCTGTCAGGCAAGTTAAAAGGTCAATGAGACAAGACACCCAGAATTTTTTTTTTTTAAAGGTAACATAGACGTCTCAATTTAAAGGAATTAAAAGTGGAGCATCAAGGAACGAGGCACAGGGGAAAAGTTAGAGGGAAAAAGAATCACAAGAAGCGATATTATTACATAGCGATCAACTCTCACTCGGGTTAGAAAACATCAAGACGGGGTGAGCCTCCTCTTGAGTAACTTCAGCCTGACCACAAAGGCCACTTGTTACACCTACCAACCCACGCCAACACTTCAGTTTCTTTAGGACTGGGGGGGGGGGGGGGGGGAGAGAGAAGAGTGCAGCAAGGTGCAAGACACACACCCGATCAGGTTCACGATCTTTCTGTACTACATCCTGATGGACACAGAATGCACAAGACTGAGAGAGCAGGGTGTCCCCAACCCCCCCCCCCCAAGCTTTCCCTGCTGCCCAAGAAGAAACCAGGACAGTCCAAGCCGGGGCAGTGACCCAGCTCCAGACTGCCTGCCCCTTGTCCTCTGGCCTTGGGCATCCGTATTCAAGGTTGGGGGGTAGGGTAGGGTAGGGTAGGGTGGAGGGTGGGGGGTGACAAGGAAAGGAAGTGCCCGGCAGAGGGGGGGGGTAAAGAGGATGGTTGGAGGCGTGTGTGGGGGGGGGGGGGGGTGCGAAGGGGGGAGGCCCAATTTTGCCCAGTGGGACGAGGGCCCAGGCCAGGGAGGGAGCCGGCCGCCGCCATGATGCGGCTGGCCGGGGAGGGGGGGCGTGACGCGGAGGACCCCCCCCTCCCCGCGCAGGGCCGGCTCCCCTTCCTCCTGCTTCTGACCCCCGCGTGGGCCTCGGTCACAACTGCTTCCCCCCCCCCCGCGCCACGATACTCACGCTTTGTCCACCAGCTCCCGCACCTTCCACATGTTCAACATCGTGCCCCACGCGGGCCGGGCCGCCGTCTCCCTGTCCTGCTCCCCACGGACCGCGGAACACTACCGTGCCGGAGCAGGTCCAGGTCGGACACAGGGTGGGGAAAGGGTGAGGGGTGGGTGGGGGTCGCCGCCGCCGCCTCCTCCAAGTCGCCCCCTCAGTCCAGATCCTTCCCCTGGCCACAGCCGCGGCGCCGCCGGTGACACGTCGAGACGCGGCGGCAGAAGTGCTGCGTGGACCGGAAGTGCCGGGCTTTCCGCCCGTGGCGCGCGCGGCACTCTGGGATTTGTAGTTTTAAAAAATTGTTTTCGCTGGCCTACTGTCCCTAGACCTACTGTAGATCCAGAGTTGCCCGGTGAGGCCTATATACGTTTCTGATCACCTTCAACTGTGAGGATCTAGTCACACTCCAAACTTTGCAAGTGTAAAGTGCTGATGATGTTGTTAATGATTGGACAGAAGTGCCACTGGGACGTGTGTTCTTGGCTGAGAGGAACCGTATTTGCTTCCGAATGTCCCAACAGACTTGTATCTCTGAACCTTGGTTTCCAGACCTGTACATTGAAGAAATTGTATTTAAATTCCTTTGCTGCTTCCAATTCTGGGATACAAGGAGTTTATATTTAAAGTTACTTTATTATAAAGCCCCAGAAACTCAACTCACAATTTATGAGAAACTAAAAGATAACACACACACACACACGTAGCTTAAAAAAAATCACTTTATATATGATACCACCAAGAATTTGGCATGTTTACTTTTTTTTTTTTTTTTTTTGCACAGTACTGGGGTTTGAACTCGGGTCCTCTGGCTCAGTAGGCAGATGCTACTCTACCTGGTCCCGATGGCTCACTCCTAGATGGTCACTACACACTCAACTGTTCCACTTATGGGCTCCCATATAGCTGAAATGATAGGCAAACGCCACCACCCTAACTTGTTGGTTGATAAGGTTTGTCATTAACTTTTTGCCTAAACTGGCCTCCAAATGAGATACTCCCAATCTCTGTCTGGGATTGCAGGTGTGAGCCGCCCTCCCCAAATAAGTTTGCTATCTTAAAGGGTAAGTATGCACAGTGCTTTCAGGTTTTGTTGTGCGGTTGTCATCTCTTCATATTTCACCTGTTTTTTTTTCTCTGTCAATGCTCATAATAAAAGCTTCAGGTAAACTTAAATCTTACCCAACTGCTTATACCATCTAGTTCTTTTCATTGTACATCTATTATCACTTTAGTGTCAGAAATAGGGAATACAGTTTGGGGTCCCAGTTCTCTTGGAGCTTATTAAAGGTCACTGGAGGAAATAGTAATCAAGAAAACATTCAATTACAGGTTGTAAATACTTGAGGAAAACAAAAAGATAAAGCTATACCCTGTGGTGTTAAAGGAAATAACTTTAGGGACTGTATCTAGCTCCCTTGAGAAGTTCATATTCAAGCTAAGATTGGAATGATTAAAAAAAAACTGGCCATAAGAAAAAAAAAATTAAGGGAGCAGGGTGTGAGTGGTTCTCACCAGTAATCCTAGCTACTCAAGAGGCTGAGATCTGAGGGCTGCAGTTTGAAACAGCCCAGGCAAGAATGTCCTGGAGACTCTTACTTCCAATTAATCACCAAAAAGCAGGAAGTGGAGCTCAAGTGGCAGAACTCTAGCCGTGAGTGAAAAAGCTAAAGCACAGTGCCTTGCGTTCAAACCCTGGTACAAAACAAAACAAACCCCAAGGGACAAGTCATTCGTGAAGGGTACTGATGAAGATTGATTCACAAAAGAAAAGAAATGATGGTTGCTAACTATGAAGTAATAGTCCCAGGATCTCTGGTCCCTCAAGTCAGGCTAGCTCTTCAAGTTGGATTCACTCTGTTATTGTAAATACATTTGAAAGGAGTTTCAGTAGACTTTGGAAGTAAGACCATGAAAGAAACGAGAAGCACCAAGAGCAAGAAATCAAGCTAGGCCAAAGTTTTGTCAAGATTGGACTACTGGGATCTCGGTGAGGAAGGCAGTTAAGCCAAGACAGGTAAAAGAGTGGGGCTTTCAATGAAAAGATTGTCTTTCCAGTTGAAGAGATTGCCCAGTCCAAAGTCCAAGGATGGAATGTGGCCGGAGGAGATAAGAGAAACTACTTTGCATAAATAACTGCTTAGTTAGTTAACTTTCAAACAAGTCCAGAGTGCACCTGCAGAATGAATGTGGCACAAAAATAACAAACTTCCCTGTCTTGAGCTTGTGTGGACATTTCATAGCCTTGTGAAGCAAGTCTCACCAGAATTTTCCAGAAAGTACAATGTTAGTAGCTAATGTTCTCATTCCAACATCTAGTTTGGGGGTATCTAGACCTAATCTGGAATTATCCAGAGTAGACAATCCAGAATTATTGTGTGTTATTTTTACAGTCTTCTGGGGCCATCTAGACCTCACTAAAATTCTTCCTGTCTACCTTTCATTCCTGAGAACTTCCAAAGTGTTCAAAAATATCTGACCTGAAGAGTTTGTTAAAATGTGGTCTTTAGCCTGGCATTGGTGGCTCATGCCTGTCATCGTAGTTACTTAGGATGCTGAGATGTAAAGATCATGGTTTGAAGCCATCGTGGCCAGGAAAGTTCTTGAGACTCTTATTTCCAATTATTCACAGAAAAAAGCCAGAAGTAGTGTTGTAGCTTTGCCTTCAGCAAAATTTACTTAGGAACAGCACTTAGGCACAAGACCCAGGACCTGTCAAAAAGAAAGTGTTCTTTAAGCCTGGCTAGGGTGGCTCATGTATGCAATCATAGCTATTTAGTAGATCTGAGGATCATGGTTCAAAACCAGCCTAGACGGGAAAGTCTATGAGACTCTTATCTCCAATTAACCTCCAAAAATCTGAAAGTGGAGGTGTGACTTAAATGATAGCGCACCAGCCTTGAGCTGAAAAACTACGGGGCAGTGCCCAGGTCCTAAGTCCAAGCCCCAGTACTGGAACAAAAACAACAAAAGTTGTCTCCAGAGACTGAAAATTTGCATGTTTACAAAATGTTCCATTTTTACATTTTATCTTGAAAGTTTGTGAGCAGTTTCCGTAGCAACTTCTTTGTGGCAACTTAAATAGGTCCATGGTAGAAAAATAAATAAGAAAATGTTCCCACCCCTCAGCTACCCTTCTTCAGGAAAACATAATTTCCACTCAATGAGCTTACACTTTGAGTAAGGCCAAACCAACACATGCTCTGAAAGGAAATACGCTCAGCTGTGCGCATTACTTGGGGAGCCCAGTTGTCCACAATGGACACTGACTGCTTTTCTTGGGTGTTTGGCTTCTTGGTGTTTCATGGGAGAAGTTTAATTCATGAGACACAGGTGGGGCAGCCTTGGGAAGGCACCTACAAGACCTCTCACAATATCTTCTAAGAACCTCTACTCTGGGATGATTTACGTCAAGGCTATGCTCAAGGTATGCTGGAGCTGGGCCATTTCTGCCAATTTGAGGCCCCTCTCCTGGGATATCCCATTTCCTCAGAGCCTCATTGCAACTGGATGCTCTCCCACTCAATCTTCCTTTTTTTTCTTTCTTCACGGGCTTCAGAATTGCCTGTGGTTTGATACTCTGCTTTCCTTGTATTTTTTTTCATGTTTTTTTTTTTTTCTTTCCCCGTGCTAGTCCTAGGCCTGAACTTAAGACCTGGGTGCTGTTCCTTAGCTTTTTTGCTCAAGGCTGGTACTCCTACCACATGAGCCATAGCTCCACTGCTGGCTACTGGGTGGTTAGTTGGAGATAAGAGTCTCATGGGCTTTTCTGCCTGGACTGACTTTGAATGGCAATCCTCAGATGAGCAGCTAGGATTACAGGAATGAGCTACCAGTACCCAACACATTCTCCTCTTTTTGTTTCATTTTATTTCCCCCCCCCCACAATAAATCTCTATATTTCTAATTCTGTGTTGTCTCTGCTCAGCAGTCCCTAAAGGGAAACTGTGTACCTTGGTTTTGGTGTTTGGGTCATGAGGTATTTGATCACACCTGGGTAAAAAAATCCCCTTTAGAAAGAAGGCTCCTTGGTTTCTAAACGTGGCATGAGGGTTGTCACAAAAAGTCAGGCAATGCTGAGTGCTGGTGGTTCACATCTGTAATCCTAGCTACTCAGGAGGTTGAGGTTTGAAGCCTGGAGGTTGAGGCTCTGATAAAAGTTGGTGAGACTCTTATCTACAGCAAACCACCAAAAAGCCAGAAGTGTTGGTAGAGTTGGTAGAGTGCTAGCCTTGAGCAGAAAAAGGCTCAGGTGTCAGTGCCCAGGCCCTGAGTTCAAGCGCCTGTAGCAGAGCAAAAGGGTGTACACAGGAAACAAGACTCCTCCTAGCAATTCAAGATTATCAGGTCTCTTTCTGTCTCTGTCTCTGTCACTTTCTCTCTCTGATTCTCATTCTATTTTATTGTAGACAGGTTTCTCCTATTGACAGGAAATAGGGCTACCAACAAATAGGGACCATTTGTTTTCAATTAAGCACCTACAGCTATTTCTCTTATCCACGAGGGGAGAACTGACATCACAGGGGAGAACGCTGATTGGCTCAACTCGGATCTCGTGCCTACCTCCCGCCGGTGGCATCAAGGGCAGATATAAGCACTCTGATTGGTCCAGTTTGGACTTCGTGCCTACATCCGGGCACAGTCTCGTTGGCGGCAGGCGCTTGGACACAGGCTTCGAAGCCGCCTCGAAGCTCTCTGAGGCGGAGAAGGAGTCCTGAAGTAATTAAAAAAAAAATCTGTATTTGGGTAGACAAATGCAGCAGCTGCTTCCAACTGAGGCTCAGTGTCTGCCTAGTGACACAAAATGAAAGGCCTGAAGTCGTTTTGGCCAGAGCTGGGAAGGCCCGAGTCGTGCTACACGCGGGCCTTTTCTTGCTCCCCGAAGCCCACGAATGAAGCCACCCAACCAGAGAGGACAACAGCTGGCTGGCGACAGGCGACGGGTAAGCCGATACCACGGCTTGTTCTCACTTTGCTCAGGCAGGGGGGGTTCTTGCTGGATGCAGTTCAATCAGGACCCACGGCAGGCCGCAGGTGGGCCTGGGGCCTAGCCCGCATGCAGGCCTCTGGGGGTGTGTGTGGGGGGGGTAGGGGGCGGTGGGAAATGGCCAAGGCTCTGGCAGGAGGAAAGATGGAGACAGTAGTTCTCTTAAAGCCATTTCAAATCAGGCACTGGTGGCTCAGGCCTGTAATTCTAGCTACTCAGTGGGGTCGAGATAGGAGGTCTTTGATTCCAAGTCAGCCCAGGCAGGAAAGTCAGTGAGACTCTTTATTTACAATTAACCAACAAATAGTGGAAGTAGA